AGTTATCTGCTGGATCGAAAAGGCCCCACGCTGGCTTGCCCGCCGCCCCCCCCCCCCTTTTCCCACGCAGAGAAGCAGGTCCAAGTTGGACCAACTCATCGCCAGCAGCGCCTTGGGGGAGTCGGTCCATAGCATCGAGGTCCCAACTATGTACCCGCTCCTGACGAACGGGCCCGTCGTCGCCCAGTTCGAGATGGGCTGCAATAATCTACTGCCCAGGCTCGCAGAGCCTGGGGAGCTCCCTACCGGGCGCCCACTTGGCCCCTCCAAGGGTCTGTCGACTGGAACCGAACAGCGACCGCAATTCAGCAGCTCCAGCAGCGCATCCAGAGACCAGAGGTTTCAAGGCAGCAGCGCCTTCTGGCCCTGGATGCAGCTTTAGGCGTCGCCATTCGAGATCTAGAAGCCTCGATAGCCCAGCAGACAGATACATCTCTCAGATGTCGTGGCCAGCGTCGAATTCAGCCAGAGCGGAAGAACCTGAACATCGAGCAAGATGACAGTCATATCCCATGCCATTGCCACGGCTGGACAACAGAGTCATAGACGCGCAGAGAGCCTTACGCATCCGTTTGACGGCGAGCCTTCGAGATGTACAATCTGCTTTGCAGGACGCGCATCAGGAGTTTCCGTCGGCCGAAGAACTACAAGCCCTTGTCAGCAAGCTCAGCCGCCTCCTTGACGCCATACTGTTGGACGTCCAGAGGGACAAGCTCGAGACGCTTCGGCAACGCGAGAGGCAAATATCTGACGGGTTTCAAATGGAAGCGGCCAACTTCCACGACCAGGAGCGTTCTCGGGACAAGTCCCAAGCCACGACCTCCTTGGAACAGCCCCTCGGTAAACAAATGGCCAGATGGGTCGGACGGACCCACACATGGCCCAAAGACAACACCACCCGGCAACCCCGGGAGGTCAAGGCCAGAGACGGCAAGTGGTCGGGCACACCCACCAAATTGCTCCAGAAAGAATCGGATCGCCTCTCGGATCTCTGGGAAGTCCAGGACGGAATCCCTGGCAACCCAAGTCAGCGGGCACAGCTGCCCCCATCATGCCTCTCGCTCTCAGGAAGGCCATCGGGACTTTCAGTCATCAGACTTCCTGGGCGCGGGGCGGGGTGCACCCCGAGAACTTCGAGCTTGTCACTGGCGCGCAGCTCCTGCGGACTTGCTCGCGCGCGTCGAACACCTCGGCACCATGCACTCCCAGATTCTGGCCATCATCACAAACCCCATCCTCAAGTTGAAGGTCACTGGCGGGCCAGCCCACCGCGGCATCGGGCTCCTCCCTGGGGGAAGAGAAAGAGAGAGGGAGAAAGAGAGCGAGAGAGAACAAAAGAGCAAACAACTGCACCTGTTTGGCGCACAAAGCAACCGCACTACTCTAGACACCGATGTTCAACAATCCCTTCTAGTTGAGCAGGGGCGCCTATCAGAAGACCCGGTACATGGGGCATGGGACATATCTAACTACTACGAGCATATCAGCGAGCCAGCAGCAGTGGGCTCAACGGTGCAGTCCTAGCGGCGAGTCTCAATCAGCGCTAGTCAAGCAGACTCCTGATCTGCAGCCAGCAACTCCAATATTGCAGATTCCCACACAGGAGGTCTACCAGCAGGCTTGGGTTCCGCAACATATCTCGTCCAGGTATGTTGCAAGCGTCCTCTGCAGGCGTGAGTTCAGGCGCGCCTGGGCGCCCAGCTCAGACGTTTCACTGACGAGACTTTGCTGCAGGCGTCTCACAAGAGCAAGAAGCAGCTCACGAAGCTGCTGCTCGACGAGCGCTTCCAGCTTCTAGCAGTCATCAAGCATGACCTTCAGTGCCAGCTTGCCGACAAAAAGTCTGTAGTTCTCGCCCCCATCCAGGGACATACAGGAGACTTTCGAAATTGAGCTAGGTATGTACGCGGGACCCCCATCAAGCAGTTCCCAGTAGCCCCCATCCCTGGAGTAGACGACCGATCTGGAGGAGCCCGACGTCTTGGGATCAGCAAGTCCACCCTCAGAGCCAGGCACAAGAAACTACAGGCCAGAACCCGACGTCTCGCAAGCCTCAAGAACCCAAGGAGATACCCGCAATATCCACAACTCTGGCTTAGGTCAGACGAATTTCTACGGGTCCGAGGTTGCAGGTCTAGACAACGTCGAGCTTCGCACGTCGCAGTCGCTCCACCTCGAGATCGCGGGCCCAGAGACCTCCACGCGATCCAGAAGTATCTCGCTCTGCATCTTAGGTGACCCCTGCTGGCGACCTGCAGTGGGACCAGTTCTTCTTCAGTGGGACCAGTTCTTCTTTGGAGTCAGCTGGCGTTGCGCGCAGCCACGGGCACAGCCATCCAGGGCTTCAATATTCCGAGTTTGCGCAGGATGGCGGACGCCGTGCCGAAGCGAGCGCCCAAAACATGGAGCAGCTGCAACGGTCCGCTAGGTGCAGCCTGCCTCAGTCTCCAGAGGATCCACTTGTCTTTCGTCTCCCCCTTCGAGATCCAGGACAGCCAAGGACACCAGCACATTATCACCAGCACTTCCTCCGGCCCACCTCCTCAAGCAGTCTTTGGAATATAGGTTACTCCGTGCAGCCGCCACTAAGAAGTCGATCAGGAATGCCCCAGATCCCACAGTCTCAACACCGTCGAAAGGACCACTCTGCTCGCCTACCTGTGCCATGCAGCATGGACGCTCAGCGGCTCGAAGGCCTCAGGCTACGAGGAGACCTCTGGAGAATGCACCTGTGGCGTGGCATCTGACGACCTTCCCCATCTACTGAGTTGCCCCCTAACTGAGCCTTACAGGCCGAACAGTTGCACAGCTGATGAAATAGATGATGTAAGTCAACGTGACAGTGTTCCTCTCGCTGCTGGTTTTCAGATCGAGCCAGACCTTTTGTAGGAACCCCAGAAGGGTTCGGCTTTAGCTCCATGAAATGTTGGTCCGCGGACCCCCAGACCGCCCCACAGACGGCCCTTGTGGGCAAGATTTCCGCGGATTGGTCGGTCCTGAAACCAGGGCGCAAAAACCTTTGAAACGGCAAGCTGGGCAATCGTCAAGACGAACGACGCTGGCGAAGTTGTAGCAGCTTTAACCGGCCAGGTCGGCGCACTCCTCCCGCAGTCCTCCCCAGCTGCTGAGCACTGTGCTGTGTGTGTGCTGTCGTTTGCTCTTCCAGCAACACCGTAACTTCAATCGATTACCAGGGCATCCTGATGCATCAAAGGCTTATCCCGCCGCAACAGATAGGCTGGGATCGGTCTCCTTGCGACGGCTGCCATAGGTTTGCACCCGCAGCGCAGACCCTAGAAGGTCGAAGCCCACCAGAGCCTCGAGTTGGGCGCGCGCGACCGTGGGCGACCATGGCGCGGATCATTTTGCTGGAATCGCCAGGCGAGCTTTCAACGACTTTCGGATGCTGAAGTAAAAACCCTTTCAGCTCAGATGAAGTTGCTAAATCAGGCCGTACTCTATGTTGTGCGTGCTCTGCAGGAATGGCCCCCGATTGGACCCAGCACGTCCAAGAAGGCGTCCGCCAAACCTGTCAAGTCAATGTCTCCCCCGGTCGGCGCTGCTTCAATACAGAAAGTCTGGAGCCCGCCCCAACTACCTCCTCCCCCGCCTCCTCCCACGGCGTCCCGCAACCTCGGCAGTCGGGCACACGAGTGGGAGGCTTCGGGGAAGAGATTGCTGTGCATAGACTGCCGCGAACGAGCGGCCACCATGAAACCAGGATCGTGCCCTGGATATACTTCGCGGCATGACCAGCTCTGCAGCAAACCTCAGGCCATATACTTTTCATCTCAGAGCAGCGTCGAGGTGGATCGTTCTAGCCTGTTGCAGGTGCGGCAAGTTTTCATAATCCAATGCCAGAGCCCTCAGCACTGCGTGCGCATACCGTGTTGCCAGGTGAGGAGATCGGACCCAATGGAATTGCTTGATCAGCGGCAGGCACCCGACAGAGACCAGGAATTCGCCCAATAGACTTCGAGCGGCCGGTGCCGCTCCACCAGAAACTCCAGCGTCAGGCCAAAGACATGGCGGAGCTGCAAGAAGACGCAGCCACCGCCCAAGGCCACCCGGGCGGGGGGAGGGAAGGCAGCAGCAGCAGTAGCAGCCATAGCAGTCGAACAGTCGAACCACTTTCAATCTGCGTGATGTTCCTCCACCGCCTCCTGCTCCTGCTCCTGCTCCTGCTCCTGCTCCTGCTCCTGCTCC